CACACACACACACGCAAACCCCTACATCTCTCCCCTCTCTCACACACGCACGCAAACCCCCACATCTTCTCTCTCTCTCTCACACACGCACACACTCACACACACAAACCACCACATCTTCTCTCTCTGTCTCACACACACGTGCGCAAACCCCCACATCTTCTCTCTCTCACTCTCTCACGCACACATGCAAACCCCCACATCTCTTCTCTCTCTCACACACACACACGCAAACCCCCACATCTCTTCTCTCTCTCACACACACACGCAAACCCCCACATCTCTTCTCTCTCTCACACACACACACGCAAACCCCCACATCTCTTCTCTCTCTCACGCACACACGCAAACCCCCACATCTCTCCCCTCTCTCACGCACACACGCAAACCCCCACATCTCTTCTCTCTCTCACACACACACACAAACCCCTACATCTTCTCTCTCCTTCACATATCAACCCCCACATTTTCTGTCCCTCACACACACACACAAACATGCACACTAACCCTCACATTCTCTTCCTCTCACACACACACACAGAACCCCACTTCCTGGAGCAGCAAACAGATGTAGATGCCTGAAATCGGAAGAAAACCTGGGAAGAGCTGTAGAAACTCTGCAGCTTTGGCAGCAACAGTGGGGAGTGAAGAAGAGTGAAGAGGTGGTTTTGAACCGTGCTTTCCCAATATCCAGACTGGAAGAGAATTGGCCATGCTGAGAAACAGACAGAGTAGAGGGTGCCCTCACTCCTGCCCAGAAACACACGGACTCTCTCTCTCTCTCTAAGGGAGGCCGCGCTACATTCACTAACTTAAGGTAACCCTCTTCCTGAACCGCGCTCCCATTCCTGACTCTACCGTCACACAAAATCGGAGGAGGTTAAACAACTCGTAAAGAAAAGGACACTAGCAAAGAAAACCCAAAAAGGTCCGGGTTTGGTTTATGTTTTGAAGTTCGGGGCCGTGCACGGAGTGAATTTCCTGGATCCCAGGTAAAGCCAGTTCCTGCTCCCACTGAAACTCACCAAGTGAAATTAACTCCTTGTCCGGGGGGCACAGGACAACGCTGCAAATCCTCAAGGCCAGGCTGCAGTTTGTGTTTTCCACCTTTCTGTCTGACGGGGAGACTCGAGTGGTGCCTCACCTCCGCCAAAACTAGCGATTGCAACACCTGGACCTTCAGTAACCTGAAGCTGAGAAAGTAGAGGCAGATCCACCAGATCCACTGGGGGTGGGATTTAAACCACAGCAAATAATTCCATCATTAACCAGGATTTCAGTTTCAACCAACCCCTGGACAATCAGTCTGTGCTCCTCAACAATCCCCTCCCCCCAAAAAAACTGTAAAATCTTTGCAAGTTCCCTTTGGAATATTCCGAAACTACGAAAGGGTTACAAGAGGGAAACTGTTTGAAAAGGTCAGTTAGTAAAAATAACAACGGTCAGAAGGTAATTGTGGAGGAGTCACTGGGTTGGAAACGGTAACTCTGTGTCTGCAGCCGGGTCTCCAGCAATGTCTATTTTTATTTCAGGTATCCAGCCTGTCAAGTCTCTATTTATGTTGCAAGTGAAGATACTGATCAAACTGGACCCCTATTTTCAGCTGTTCGAGACAAAATGACACCTGTAGTTATCATTCACAATTTTCTCATGTGTTTTTCTGGGTCACAGGTTTTCCAGAGTGTTGATATTCCAATGGCCTGGGGCTTTAATCCAATGAGAATCTTTAGTTTCCCTGTATAAAGGCAATATTCTACAGATACTGGAGTTCTGAAACAAATACAGGAGAAACGGTAGCATCTGAGGGAGGGTCACCGGACCGGAAACATTAACTCTGATTGTTTTTCTTCACAGATGCTGCCAGACCTGCCGAGCTTTTCCAGCAACTTCTGTTTTTGTTCCTGATTTCCGGCCTCCTCAGTTCTTTCGGTTTTTATTTACAGGAGAAACTCAGCAGGTGTGGCAGCCTCCGTGGAGAGAGAAACAGAGTTAACATTTCGAATGCAGTTATGACTCTTCTTCCCTGCCCCTCCACATCCCATCCGCTTCTTAAATGACCAGGTTTCTGGGGAATGCCATTCAGCCCATCCCTCTTCCTTTCCCCTCATTGCGACATCTAAGGTTTCCTGGATGCTCACTCCAACCGGCAGAGATGAGGAGCTGGTGATCTCACAGTAATGTCACTGGATTAATAACTCAGAGGCCCAGGGCTAATTATTTTTATTGCCAAAATATACTTTATTCATAAAAATTCTTTACGTACATACACAGTTACTAAAGCAGTTCTGTACAGACATTGACCAGGAAGAACAAACAAACATGGGAATTTGGCATTCCCTGCTAACAGAGAACCCAGGCCATTTCTTACTCATAGAGGACAATATTTACACACATTTCAGGCACAGTGAGGGTCCGATAACTGAATAGACTCCACCCCCAGCAGCCACTTTGAGGGCTGTGTACAGTGATCCCATGCCCACACTGTGTGTGTGACTGCCCTCTGAAATGGCCCAGTAAGCCATTCAGTTCCATGACAATTAATGAGAAGTGAGTGTCAGGAACTCCTAAGTTCCATGAAGAAAAGAAAGTTCATGTGATGACTCTGTTCATGAGAAAGATGGAAAATACAGCCTCAATTCTCCCTGTAAACACCCACTTCTGCAAAGCCAAACAACTCACACAAACCACTAACACCTATTTTTCATCAATATTCCTCCCCTGCTATCACTAGCATCCCCTTTGTCTTTGTTCTGGGCACCCTCACCATCTGTTCCACTTGGTCTCCCTCTCCCTTTGTCAACACCATTAAAAACAAATCATTTCCAGCTGCTTCCAGCTCTGAAGAAGATCACACCAGATTCGAAACATTAACTCTGTTTCTCTCTCCATGGACGCTGCCAGACCTGTTGGGTTTCTCTAACGCTTTCTGTTTTCATTTCAGATTTCCAGCATCGACAGTATTTTGCTTGTAGTCAAGTGTGGAAGAAAAAAGTTCCAAGTTGCTTCAGAGAAATAAGAAGAGTCATTAAAATCAAACATTTAGTGAAAATTAGGGTGTTACAGTCACAGCTGATACTGGATAAGTCTGATCCCAGAGAAAAAGCTGGATGGATACGTGTGAGAGATAGTAGGAACTGCCGATGCTGGAGTCTGAGATAACAAGGTGTAGACCTGGATGAACACAGCAGGCCAAGCAGCATCAGAGGAGCAGGAAAGCAGAAAATTTTCTGAAGAAGGGTTCAGACTCGAAACGTCAGCCTTCCTGCTCCTCTGATGCTGCCTGCCCTGCTGTGTTCATCCAGCTCCACACCTTGTTATCTCAGATTCTCCAGCATCGGCAGTTCCTACTATCTCCTAAATTAATCTAGTCCTATTTGTCATCATTTGGCCCATATTCCTCTAAACCCTTCCTATTCATAAACCCATCCAGATGCCTTCTAAATGTTGTAATTTTACCAGTCTCCACCACTTCCTCTGGTAGCTAATTCCATACACTCACTACCCACTGTGTGAAAAAGTTGCCCCTCACGTCCCTTCTAAATCTTTCCCCTCTCACCTTAAATTTATGCCCCTCTAGTTTTGGACTCCCCTACCTTGGGAAAAGACCTTGGCTACAAACTCTATCCAGGCCCCTCATGATTTTATAAACCTCTATAAAGTCACACCTCATCCTCTGATGCTTTGGGAAAATAGCCC